TACTCAAACGAGCAGCTAGATGTTTCAAAGAGACACACAAATGGACGGTAATCTCGGGAAAGCACTGCAAAAGCAGCTGTGCTATTAATGAATTATTTTATAACTCAAAAAAAAAAAAATACAAATCGTAAGTTCTCTTTGAGATATACCAAAATTTATTAATGATCTCCAGTGTCATAAAAATCCATAATTTTTAATTGTCATAGTTTTAAGTCAGAGTTATGATCGAATTATTAAAACAAATTTATGCAATTATGTTATTTTTTTTCCTTTCTCGTGCTCTTCTTTTTGTTATTTTCCTCTCTTCCTCTCTGCCTTTCCTCCTCACTTCCTTTCTTTTGGATATCTTCACACCTTTCTTATGTTTTCTCACTTGTTTTCACTTATTTCATCTAACCTTCACTGTGTCTGTCAATGACAGCTCTTTTCTCTCACATCAGCTAATTAATATCTACAAATCGGTTATTGATTGTTACCAAGGTAGCTACAGAAAATGCATAACATTGCGTCTATTCTCTAGCCCTGAAGAAAAACCTACAAAATGAATATTTTCTTTTGCAAAATTTTCTGGTATACGACTTGATGCCTTTAATTACTTATGGTTTTGCAAATAATACAATGCCCTAGATGTTGAATTAATAAAAGGTTCTCCAAAAAAGAATTGCTTCTCGTTCTTCGTCTTATTTTTACACTATACACTATAGTATATTGATTAACATTTTATAATGTCATTTTTTCAGGTCCAGTGCATGAAACTTTAGATGAAATGCGACAACGATTTGCTCAGAAAAGCGATGAACAAGAATGAATAGACAAAAACCAAGCGATATTGGCTGAATCTCGGCGATCAAAAACATCAGCACGGTCGGAAGACGGAAATGAACAGCGATATCCTGAAAAAGTTATATTACTAGCTAGAGGTACAAAAATACCATGGATCAATATAAGCCTAAATCATGAAGGTTTTAATGCAGCTACACTTCATCAAGCTGTAGCTAATCTTCAAAATGAAAGACTTGGTATGTTGAGGTTTTTTCACTTACCATAGAATTTGACCCAGATAGATGATAATACCATCAAAGCTTCTTCGATGACAATAAGTAACTAAAACAGTCTGAGATATCTTTTTTTTTCAAGCAGACCATTCAACGAATTTCACTGAATGTACACGAGACAGAAACAGCAAGGTAACTTTCAACTAGTAACGTACAAAACAAACAGAAAAGAGCAATAAACACATGAAAGATGATATTTCAACATAAGAGGAAAAGACAACGCAAGATAACCACCTTTCAGAAGAGAGTGAAGAAAAAAAAAGAAAAACGAACATATTACTTTTGTCACTCACTCAACAGTAATGATTCACTATGACAATAAAAAAAAACCATATCAACTATCACAGAGTTTGTTTCGTTATGATTGCAAAAGCAGATCGAGACTTAATGATTTAAATACACTTAAATGCGCACCGATTCATTAATGTAGTTAATTATAATTTGTTTTATATTCATATAGGAATCTTGACAAAAGAAGAAGCAAGTAGTGCTCACAGAGCAACAACATACTTTTCCAAAGTACCAATCGATCCCAAATGGAATGCTGAATAATTAGCTGCCTTCAGTAACAAATTAGCCAAGTTCAATGTGTCGCTGATGGCTTACCAAGCATCTTTCATACCAGAAGCAAGTGTTACCACCACCGAAACGGAAGATGAAGAGAGTATGGACACTTCACCTTCTCGTGAAGATGTTTCATCATATGCAAGTGTTGGATTTGAGTTGCTACCACCAACAACACGTGTTCGATCACAGCAACGAGCCGAAAGTGCAGCAAGTCAACTTTTCTTAACACCAGACAAAACAACAACAAAACATTTTACAAAACAGCATACATTCCAAGTTAAAAAGAAAAACAGAATAGAACCAATCGAAAAGCCAACATCACCACGGAGGGATATTCTTCCATCTCAAGAATATCAATATCACAATATTTAGCTATTCGACATTGATCATAGTGACAACTGACTCTTCTTCACAGAACATTAAAAATTTTTTTGCTAATTGGATTTTACTTACACAATTAGTTTCCTTCAATACAACCGTCGAAAATGATACACCAATAAATTTCCAAGTTGCATACATAAAAATTGTTCTCACCTGAGCAACTCCCTAGAAAATTCTTCAAAGTTGAAAGATTAAACTTCAAAACTCATTTGAAACTTGAAATTTCAATTGAATTCAAGTTTCAAGTTTGACATTATTGGAAAGTTTCAGCCGAAAAGGATATTTCTTCATAAAGATATTCAATTTTCAAAAACTGCAGCTCTGTCTCACAAAAATCAAGTTAACTTGAAAATTCAATAACTCGCCCAAGAAGCATTCTTTTTGGGTGAAACATTCAGGGTGTTCGAAGAGTTATTAGACCTATCTCTAAAGACAAAATTTGAGATCGAAATATCATTATTTAGTTTTTCGGAAACCACCGAAAAATGAGTCAAAAATATAGCAGTAAGATATTTCAAATTAATTAGCAGAGAATTATTATAAGTTCTGTACTAATATTCAATCAGAAAATTCTCATTTCAGACAATTTCTATAAGTTTTATTTGAAATACTTAAAAGATAATTGGTGCTTGTTCAAATAACTCGATATGATTTTTTCCGGTCTCTCTCTCTCTCTCTCAAGCTTCAAGATCTACGTGACACATTATATTTTGATGATGGTCACGTCCAGTCACGAAAAATTTATTGATTGTATTAGTATGATCTGTTTCAAAGCGACTATCCATACTAGTCGGATGCAGGTCTACGAAAAATGCACATCGATAGTTTTCGCACGAAGTAATTATTGTTTTCACAATCGATCATATTTTCATGAAACTTTCTTGATAATATTTTGATCAGATCACGATCACAACTTGTTGTATGATCGCAGTAATGAATTTAACAAAAGTTTTGTTGCTTCATGCGAAAACTATTGATGCACATCTTTCGGGATCTCGAGTGTCTGTATAGTGAGATGATAAGTGAAATAGAAAAAGTCCGAATAAAAAATTAGACATTCATAAAAAGTTATGTGAGTTGCACAAAATAAAAAGTAGTCATTAATATAGCTACATTAAAATTTTGTCGTGACCGGACTTTAGTCACTTCGATCTTTACTCAAGTTGCTACTTCTAATTGTCATAAACATTAGTAAAAGATTATTCGACAGCCCAATTTACCTTTGCTGAGTTAGCGTAAAAAATAAAAGCTTTATAAAGTTTAGCGTTCTGTTTGTGTACAAATAATTATGTAATGAAATAAGACAATTTAATATTAAATGTATTTTAATTTGTTTATCATTTGTATTTATTCCAGCTAACAAACATAACATAAATAGATTTCATTGGTTTTCCATCAAATATTTGCCAATTTTAATAGTTATTGTTGATATTTCAACATTTAAAATTTTTCTAGTTTCATCTTGTTTTTTAATGTGTTCATAAAAAAACTTTAGCTATAGAAGAATTTAAACAAAATATATCATCTATCATTTAATATTGTATACATATGATCAATTAAACAATATGTACAAACTTTATTAATTAATATTGATATTAACATTTGTGATGTTAAATCAAGTTTAATATAAAGTTCATCAATAACTAATGTACATATACTCTATATTTTATAGAACTCAATTAATGTTATTATACATATAGATGTTAAAATTTTTAATATTAATTTTTCTTATGCATTTAAATGATGTTCAGTAGGAAATAAAAAATTTTTACCAAATATATTTATATAAATACAATGAAGTAAGTTTGTTTGTTTTAAATTATTATTTAAATTGATAACATAACGACTTATTGATGAAAGAATTTCTGCTTCAAAATATATAATGTTGTTCATAGCATAACATCCATATTAATAATTAAAATAATATAAATGATGATGATAATTGAAGTGCTGATAGAATTTTTCTTATAGCTGCTTGATAATCATGATATTCTTGTGTACAAATAGAAAATTCAGTACTTTTTAATGAAAAACAATCAGCTGTAAATATACATAATGTATGTGAAAGATCATTAGACCATTTTTTACGTTTATCTTCGGATAAATTTTCATCAATATTAATTGAAGCAATAAATGTTAATAAATCAAGTAAACCTGTTTTAAATGTTAAATTTAATTGTTTATCAATTTATAATAATAAATAAATTTGTGATATATTATCAAATTGTTCATGTAAAATTAATATATGACTATTAATTATAAATGTTTTTTTTGTTAATAATGTAACAATTAATAATCTATCATCAATATTTATTGAATTATAAAGTGAAAAAAAATTGTGGTCAACATGTATATATACCATCAACAAATTGTCGGCCATATTGTTGATGAATATGTTTTTCACGACTACATAAATCACGAACAGTTATTTAAAATGAAACTATAGGACGATATTATTCAACAGAATTTATTTCACCACTGTTATCAGTTATAAAATGAGATGTTATACTAAGTTAACTTGTTATTTGATATTTAAATAATGTTAATAAATATGTGCCTATTGTTGTCATATTGAAATCCGTATGAATACGATTACATTGAAAAAAAATATGGGAAAACTTCATATGGGTATAAATAAAGAAAATAATAAATTTAAAAAAGCAAAAATAAATCTAGTAAAATACTTTAATGCCTAAATAAATAATATAATGTAATCAAATAGAGATTGCAAATCACGTTGAGTATCGACAGTTAAAACAAAATTTTTAGATGAAAATTTTATTCATAGTGGAAAACAATACAGTTAACATTATTGTCCAGAATTCTTTTGCATATTGTTCAAATTGATTTGGTTTAGCTTATAATCGAATTATCATGTAAAAGACGATGTCCACGATTAATAGTAAATATTAATGATCAATGAATAAGATTTTGATTTAATTCTTTAATTAAATTGTAAGATCTTAAATTATATTCGAATACTTTATGATAACTAATTGAATATTCTATTCTCGACAATTCTTTGAATTTTTTTGGTTTTTATCTAATTCTTTATTTCGTTATTAGTTTTTATTTAGTATCCAATATTTGATTAGCTTATAGCAAAATCTTTGATCTCGTATCATGTTGAAGTCTTAAACCAAGGCGAAATTATTTTTTGTAAACAATTTCGGATTGAGATCTATGATCTTTATTCATATCTCCCATTGACTTTTATTCATAATTTTAATTTCTATGAGATAAAGCTACATCTATACGTACCCACCAGTTTTCGTCATTTCTAATGCCATATCATAGAAGGATTGTTATAATTGATCAGCTAAATGAGTTGTCATTGATTTAAGTGAATTAAGAATCTAAATATTTATTTCATCAAATTTTGAATCAATTAAATAATTTTCTAAACATACTCTTTCAAGTAATTTCTTATTAATTTCTTCATTATTAATATCAAATCCTAATTGTGTTGGATTAAATACATATGTTAAAATTAATTTTATTAAGTCATTATTATAAAATAAACTACCAATTGCTCGAATTGTGTCTAGTGGATATTTAGACCAAAGTGCTGTAACAAAAATTCAGTAAACGAGCAATAACTATACATGTTTCCCTAAAATTTACAATATAGAATAAAAAAAAAAACTTAAATCAAAATTGATTTTTTTTGTCATTTACATCTCTAATTAACTAAAATCAGTCGGTGTAAATACTTTTGTTTGATTCGATAGTAGAAAATAAGTAACAATATCATATAATGTACTCATCGATATTTTTGTTATAAAATACGATAATGAAACTATTAAATGACTTTGTTTATTGGTTTCTAAAATATAATAGAATGTATTTTCTAGGTTTTAAATAACACTAACAGTAACAATAAACAATGTTACATAATATATTTTTTATATTATTAATTAATCTAATTATATTTAATTAATTAATTAATTAATCCAATGATAAGATTATTGATAAGTAGTTAGAATTAATTTAGCTGCTTAAGATAAATATCTTATTAAAAATTTGTAACCTTACCTTGAAATAAAAGAGGATTAAGAAATCCTTGTGAAAATAGTCAAGTATAACAATGCAATGAAGCAATAATAGTATCAAGCCATTGATAAATAATTGAAGTTGAAAATTGCTCATTCATATCAGTTAAACATGTTTGATTAACTAAATTAGCTTTAAATTTTGTTTTCTTTTCTTGACTTCATGTTTCTTCAAATCTAAAAGCTTCAAATAAGATTTTCTTTTACCGTTCAATAAAATAAATATTTCTATCGGATTTCACTTTTAATTGAAAATATTCTCGAATTGATCGAATTCATTTTCAGAAGAAGAAATTTGTTTTAATTAAAGAAATAAAACATATTAAACCAGGTAGAAGTGGAATAAATGTACAAACAAGTTCAATACATTTTCTTCGCAATTCAGTTTCAAGTCTTCCACATTAATGAAGTAACCATAGAACAGTAATATGAAGACATGCTTCAGTTCATGATCTAAATGATTAGTGCGTTACATTTGTCTTCTAAGAAACAGATACAACTGACGGTGGACGATGTCGTTTAGGTGTTTCTTGAACAAATAAATAAGATTTCTCTTTTGTTATTCGTTAAATATGAGATAAAGCTCTGATCACTTGCTGTTGCGTACCTATAGAAAAAAAAGCCTCAACCATTTAACTAAAATTAATGGTAAAACTACCAAGAGATGGATCATCTCGTTAAGCTATTTCTAAACTTTCCACAAATACATAAAGTAATTGAAGAGTGTAAACATCCACTAATGTTTCCGATTCACTAAAATAATTGTTTTAATTGAAAAAAAGTCAAAGGAAGATTTTTATACCGATAAAGTGTATCAATAAAACAATTAAAAAAATAAAACGGCAACCAAAAAGAAATATATAGCCGAAATAGAGAAATAAATAAGATAGAGCGATTTACTGACAATTTATTATCATTAGAGAGAAACTATCATCTGTTAGAGCTTCGTCACTTTAGGTATGTTGTATCAATATAATAATGCTAACGAAGATATGTGAGTTCCACATTTTACTATCAAAGGACTATGCTGACAAGCTTTTATAAAGAATTTCGAAGAACAACTAAATTAAATATTGTGAGACTTTCAGTAAAAAATATCTTAATGCATAAATAAACAAAATAATATGAAAATAATTTTTAAAAAACCTATGAAGCTCAACTGTTAACGAAATCTAAATCTAAATATATATTTTCGTTCGAAGACCAAATAATTAGTATTCAAATTTTCACTTGATTTAAAAACTTCAACTGAACTATGGAAAAAAAATTTCTAGTTAGTATATATTTTCAATTTGAGTAATATTAATTTTTCTTAGATGGATAACATCTTAACGATTATCATAATAACGTTCGATAACTTTTTATTGTTAGTTTCGATTGTTAATACTCAAATATTCTTTGATAATTTTTTTAAAATAACAAACCTCTAAGTCTTTATTATGGTTTTAACATGCTTTAGATTCAAGCGTTGAATTTTGTTTATGACAGTAGATTAGTTTTTTAACGATATTCTTACTATTTCGATTATTTTTCAAATTATAAATTTTACCAACAAAGAACAAAGTATAAATGTTGTGTCTTTATAATGATGATAGAATCGCTAAACTTTGAAAATCGTTTGATAAATGGCTAATAACTTATTAAGAAATATTCAAATATCATTATAATACATCAATATTTGTATGATATCTAGATGAATGCACATCTATTAACAGACAAATGAATGATAGTAATCATTCTATAATCTTTAGTCTTATTATAAGTCACTTCTAATGTTAAATATATTTAAAATTAATAAATTACATTGTACAGTGAAAATATCTTCAATATAGTTTTCACTAATTGGTTCACCTACATTTTTCGTTTTAGAAAAACATCCTTTGTTAAAATAATTGATCATCAATGATTGATTCTCATTTAGAGAATGTTCGTTAAGCATAACTCTTCATATATTTATATATGTAGACAAGTTTTTATGAAATTTGTCTTTTTTTTTGCAAGCTTCGCACTTATTAAAATGAAGACAGCAATAAAAGTTAGTTCCCTCTCTCTTTGCTTATAGTTAAGATAGATCTGAACATGCTTACCAAATCCAAATATCAGAAATTAGTAGTTCTCACGTAAAAAGTCAGGATTTCATCATGAGATTTTTATTTGAAGATAGGACGGTGCGTGGCAATTTTTCTCAAACAAGCATGAAACTTTCATTTAGATGAGCGATTCCTTCTTTCTCATAGTAACCTGATAGTGAAAAATTTTCTGAGAAGTCTCAACAAATGACATACGAAGTCGCCTATTACACCTCCTATTATTATTAACTATTTTAAAACCGTTTATTAAAAATGTACAAAAAGTTCACAGATAATCTGATATGAGTCACAAGAAATAAGTGCATATGAACAATAAATTATCTGTCTGGCGATTTCTGATGCCTTTGCAGCAAGATTAATTTTCTGAAGAGCAAATTTGTTTGAACACATCGGAGTTACTTAGGAGATACTTTTAAAAAAAGTACAATAATAGTCAATGCTTAATTTTATTACGAACTATATTTCAACTGTATTACGCATCATTCTACTTTGGTTATTATTTCACAAAAAACCATATTCATTGAACTTTGCGAAAACTCAGTTCCCTTTTCCGTTCAATTTTTTTATTGACTAACAAGCTCGCCTCAAGTCAAAAGAAAAATCTGAAAATCAGGAGTCTCCTAGTCAAGTCAGGAGATTTGGTAAGGCTGACCATGAATAAAATTGATCATAGATAATCAATCAGAAAGAAGTAAAGCATTTCATACTAAACCGATCCAACGATTATTCATTCATTAGAAAATATCGATTCATCTGTCCAATGACGTTTGAAGCCTCGCATTATTGCAATCCGGAGTCGGTGGAGAGTTTCACTTTCTCGACGTATGCATCAAAACTTGTCATGAATGCAGTGCAAAGCACAGCATTGATGTAGTCCTTCATGTAAGCATTCGACGACCTCCATACTTTGGGTATTTTTTGCTGTAACAAAATTTCTACTTTGTGTCGCGATGATCTAGAGAACGGTGAGTCGTTAGAAACTCGTCCAAACTTTGTTAGAGCGATCAATGTTGGAAGACGATTCAAATGATTTCGAATCTTCAATATGAGTTTTCGCTTATCTTCAGAAAGTTCAGAAAAACGACGATTTAGTCTCCAACTTTTACATCAGATAATTAAAGCTTGTGAGATAGTCTCAAATATGCTTCAAAGTTGCCACTTTGTGTCGAAGACGTTGAGATCTGAATGTGGTACAAGTTTGGTCAGATTTTCTATAGGATGCTCAATTCGCCCACAATAAAAGCCGAATATTAAAAATGATCTATGGACTATGCTTTTAATATGGTGACATAATGTAACAGGACTTGGCGCTGCTTTTAGCAAGCATTAATTATCACTTGGACATATGTTATTTCTTCGATACATAGGTGCTGACATCTTTCTTTTCTTTATTAATGATTGTAACTTTGTAAAGGACTGCTAGTGACTGTGTTCGTTATGGCCGTGCATGAAAAATAAAAGAGTTAAAGTCATTAAAGCTCTTTCGTTAAAATAGAAGTGAAGATCTCAAGCTGTAAACATCAGCATTATATAAATACAACAAGTAACGCTCATGTGAAGAGGACAATAAAAATATCAATAATTACTCGTCATTTAAAAAATGATTGATGAAAGAAGAAATACTTTTTCATCGACTTCGCAACATTTACCAATAATACTACAAATTCTGATTTTTCATAATATGCTAGGAAAGATTATATGACTACCCAACAACAATTATCAACAACAACAGCGACTTTTTATTGCTATGGTATGTACTAAGATAACAGATAATAACTGACTGCTCTAAAACGTAAGTGTCTTCTGGAAAAAAATGATACACGTTACCTAACAAAAATAAATAATCCTTGTCAACTATACTCTGTTTTTCGAAACTCGAGATTTGTGCTTCGCACTCATCTCGCACTCTAAGCTCAACTAAGGTGCTATCTACTTTTACCTTATATACATCATTCGTATTCGAGAGAACGTAGACGAATCGAATAAAGGAACCTCTCCTATTGATGTGACAGTTAGTGGTAGATGTACATAGCAAAGATTAAAAATCGATATGTATAGAAAAATATCGAAGATTTGATGCTTGTTGAAATAGACAAATTAGTTCACTTAAAAGTGGTTTGACATCCCATATAAAAAAAATGTTGTTCAAGAGTTGTTGAAATTATTTTCAGCATTAAAAAATAGATTTGATTTTTAAAATTAATATTCAACTAGTAATAAATAAGTTTATTTAAACTTCAAATACTATTTCCAATTATGTGAGATATGTAAAATTCGTTAAATAAGATCATTGTAATACAAATCTATTCATTCATTGTTCCGTACAAAAATGATAATATGAAAATGATTGTAAATTGATTCAGTTTGAAATCATATGCATAGAACCGATCGATTTGTTTATGCAGGAATTTCATCAACATCTGAGAAATACAATGAAACAATTCGATGGACGATTGCTGAAATATATTGATAAACAGCATCAAAATCATAGTTAGATATTGATCTAAAGTCAAATTCATTTATTCTAAAATGATCAAGAAGTAGAAACAATCAAGATACGTAATAAGACCATGATATAGATGACAACTAGTAAAAATCCGAATAGATCGAGTCATAATTCATTGT